CTCGCACACCTGGAACCGATGGGCAGGGAGTCCTGGCGCGGCGGCGCCCGCCGACGGCCGCAGCGTGGCCGCGGCCACTCCTCCCGAGCTCTCCAGCGGCCCTGGGCCCGTCGGCAGCGCTGCCTGGCCATGCCAGCTGAAGCCACGCGCCTGCATCCAGCCCGCAGCGCGGGCCACCGCCTGCTCGCCCTTGAAGCGATGCTCTTGGAGGCAGAGCACCGCAGGCAGCCGCCCCTCGTCGTCGCGCAGCCACTCGACCAGCGACTGCGCCGAGCCCCACGCGGCGGTGTTGGCCGACACCAGCTCCACCACGTCCGCCGCCAGCGGGCGGCTACCCAGAGGCGGGGCCTGCCACCCGCTGGCGCTTGGCCAGCGCTGCGCGCCAGGCTGCGCGCTGCTGCTCGTCCTCCATGCCCACCTCGTCGAACACGGCGTCGAGCCCGACGAGCTCGGGGCCAAGGTCGAGGTCGCCGACGCGCTTGCGGTCCCCAGGAGGACCATCAGCGCCGTCATCACTGCCATCAGCCGGGGGGGCGGCCGCCTGCGCCGCGGCGGCCCGCTCAGCTGCGGCTGCAGCCGCGCGGGCCCGCTCGGCCACCGCTGCCTCTCGAGCTCGGGCGTCGGCGGCGGCGAGCTTCTCCGCGAGGCTGCGGGCCTCGGCGGCCATCGCGAGCAGGGCGCCGCCCTCCTCCCCGAGCAAGAGGACCCGCTCCCGCTCCGCCTCGAGGCCCTCGAGGCCCTTGAGCAGCACCATGCCCAGGCAGTCCTCGGCCTCCACAGGCTGGCCCACCTCCATGGGCGACGGCCCCGTGTGCTGCTCCAGGTCAGCGCGCTTCCTGGCGCGCACGGCCTCGGCCACCTCCTCCAGCTGGTCGCGCCGCTTCTGGAGGACGTCTGCCTGCTCCGCCACGCGGACCGCGACGGCCGCCTGCTCCTCCTGGACGGCCACCAGCGCAGCCTCCGCACGGCTGACCTGGCCCTTGATCTTCGCCTCCCTGGCCAGGAAGGCCTGGAGCGACAGCTCGGCCAAGGGCATCGCTGGCGGCGGCGCGTCCACCACAGGCACCAAGGCCCCGAAGTCCTGGACCAGGGCCGCCGACCAGCCTTCCCTGGGGCCAAAGTGGCGGAGGAGGGCCTGGCGAGGCTCCTCGTCCTTGCCGCCGCTGCCGCTGGGCCGCTCCTCCGCCTCCCGCTTGGCCGCGCCCTGCGCCCACGGCGCCAGCGTGGCCGCGGCGGCGGCAGGCCCTGGCACATCCGAGGCGAAGCGCACGCGCTTCGCCACGATCTTCTCCTTCCCTTTGGCCTTGGCCTTCGCCTTGGCCTTGTTGATGGCCTCGCCGATCGTGCCCGCGCCGCGCGGCGGCCGCGCCGCCTTGCAGAACCTGCACTCCGTGCGCCAGGCCATGTTGACGTAGCCAGCAGCACACGAGCGGCACGTCCAGGGGTCGCCACCCTGGCTGGCACCGCGCGTGCCACCTGCATCTCCATTCGCCATCGGCCCGCGGGGGCACGCCGCTCTGAAGATTGCACCCGCAAGAGCAAGCACCTGGCTCGCCCCAGAACGGCTTGGCCGGCATCGGGAGGAGGAGGAGGAGGAGGAGGAGGAGGAGGAGGAGGAGGAGGAAGAGGAGGAGGAGGAGGAAGAGGAGGAGGAGGAGGAGGGAGGAGCTCCTGGCACACCCCCTGCGCCAGCGGGGCGCAGCGGAAAAAGGAGCGGCGCCGACGTCGCCCAAGGGGGGCGCCCCGTGCAGCTGGACGGCGGGTGCGCCTCAGTTGGACTTGCGAGCGCGCGCAGGCTCCGTGGTCTTCCACGGCTCGCCGACCGCACGCGAGCGGTTCCCAGTGCCCCCCCCCAGCGGGGGGGAGTCCCCCAGAGCCTGGGTCGCACAACTTCGCGCATCGCGCATCGCGCCCCGCGGCGGTCTTCGCGACCTCGCGCCGCTCGCATCGGGGAAAAACGGCAGCCGCTCCTCGCCCAGGCTGCGGCGCGCGAGGCGCGGCCACCTTGGACCCCGCGGGTGTCACATCAGATCAGCCGGGGAGCGGAGATCCTGCACTGCAAGCGCTGCCGGATCGACTGGCGCGGACTGGAGGCACCATTGACGGAGCGCCCTGGAGCGACACTGGACCAGGGGCCAAAGAAATGCCTTGCACTGCGGCAGCAATGCTGCGTTCGTTGCGTATGGGATGGATGGCGGAGATATCGACAAGGCGCGGTCTACTTGGCTTGCGAGTCAACATGCCAAGTGAACGTGGGGTTCTGCGCGCATGTGGTCTTGCACGCCAGAGAGCTCGAGCGCTTGTCGCGCTACTTCGTTAGCGTGCGGTGGGACGCACAATAACATAATAGTGCTAAGTGCTGGTGCTGGAGGAGCACGCCCGACACGAACATACAGCACACAACTCCTAGATAATATACAACACAAGAGAGAAACCGCCGCGGAGCTCATACTATAGGAGTCCTGAGCGTGCGCGTCGCTCTTGCGGGGCCGACGCGCACACGGGGTGGAGAGGCAAAAGGACTGGAGAATCCTCCTCCTCCTCCTCCTCCTCCTCCTCCTCCTCCCCCAAAGGGCACGAGTTGCAATGTGGGCAGGCGGGAACAAAGCTGCGCCGAGCGGTATGGCCAGAAGGCAACCGCCGCGGAGCTTATACCATAGGACCATAGGGCTCCCGAGCGTGCGCCCCGCTCTCGCGGGGCCGACGCGCATCATCGCAGGAAGTGTCTGCTGGGCGGTGCCGCTGCGGCTTCAAACCTGCCTTCTCTGGCGGTGCGCACAGGGGGGGTGAGGCCTCCTCCCCCTTCCTCCTCCTCCTCCTCCTCCTCCTCCTCCTCCTCCTCCTCGCCTCCTCCTCCTCCTCCTCTCCCTCCTCCCCCTCCTCCTCATCCCTCCTCCTCCGCCTCCTCCTCCTCCTCCTCCTCCTCCTCCTCCTCCGCCTCCGCCTCCTCCTCCTCCTCCTCCTCCTGGCAAGGTGGCGAGGCCCTCGCCCCTGACGTCCGCCGAGACGTCGTGCTCTTCCGTCCGCGGCCCCGGGTCCCGACCGCTTCCTGCATGGGCCAGCCTGTCGTGTGGCAGTGCGCACAAGGCGGTGGGGGGAGGGGGGAGGGCTTCTTAGAAGGAGCCTGTTTCTTAGAGGGCGCCGGCCCTACACCTGTAGAAATAGGGCCCGCGCCTCCTGAGGAGCAGGGGTGCTGCTAAGAAGCCCTCCCCCCTCCCCCCTCCCTCATCTGCGCGTGGCTGACTTCTGGCGGACGCCCGAGCGGGAGCGCAAATCCAACAACCTGGGCTGGACCTAAACGTTTTTTGTCCGTCTTGTTTTCGCTTTGTTTCATTGTGCTCTACCTGGTTTGCTGCACCTCCCTGCCAAAACGAAAAAACAAAACACAGCCAAAGTCCAGCAAAACAGCGTTTAGGTCCGGCCAGGGGCGGACCTGCACGGTGTTCTGGCAATCTCGTCTGCCGTGTTCGTCTCGAGGTCGTCTTGCAGCGGAGGCGAACTCAAGACGAAACGAGGGAAAACGACAACAAAACGAGAACGCAAAAACACTGTTCAGGTCCAGCTCTGGGGAGGAGGAGGAGGAGGAGGAGGAGGAGGAGGAGGAGGAGGAGGAGGAGGAGGAGGAGGAGAGGAGGAGGAGGAGGAGGAGGAGGAGGAGGGGAGGAGGAGGGGGAGGAGGGTGAGGAGGAGGGTGAGGAGGAGGAGGAGGAGGAGGAGGAGGAGGAGGAGGAGGAGGAGGGGGTTGGCGGCGCCTGCGGGAGCACAGACGCCGCAGGGCGCGGGCCTCGGCGGGCCCCCTGCGGGCCCCGTGCCCCCCCCCCCGCCGGCCGCGCCCAGGGCAGGGCGGCGGGCCCTGGCGCGGGCGCGGCCGCCGGGCTCCGGCCACCGAGCTGCTGGAGGCCTCCCAGATGTAGAAGTCAGACAAATCCACCCCCATAAGAACCACCCCGACGCGCGAAGGCGTTCAGGAAACGCCCCCCCCCCCCCCCCCCAAAAAAAAAAGGAATCGAACAGGGCAAGGCTGTTTCGTGAACGCCCAGGGCCGCTCAGCAAACGCCAGCTGTCTGGTCCGTGTGGTTTTTCCTCCCTTGACTACTGGAGGCCTCGCAGATGGGGTCCAAGTGAATGGGGTCCGAACAGATCGCGCCGCATCCCCGATGCATCGGCGACGTCGGCGATACACCGGCGACGCGGGGATGAAGAACGTCGGGCTCCACGTCGAGCCGCATCGCTGATGCGTCGACGATGCGGCGCGATCCTCCGACCCCAGCTGCTCCGACCCCATCCGGGAGGCCCAGAGCTACGGAGGGCGGCGGCGGGACCTGGCGCACACGCGATCACCAGACACCAGCCACGATCTGGGCGCCCGCCGCCGCCTCCAATCTTCTGCAGCCCCATCGGGCAGCTGCCCCAGCGACCGGCCGAGGACCCCGCCATCGGGGGAGACGCCCGGCGCCGTGTCTGAGCAGCTACCCACCCGTCGGGGTCACGCCTGGCAGCTCGAAGCCCCCCCCCTGTGGCACTGTCCGACAACAAGAGGCCTCCGAGATCTGGTCCGAGTAGATGGGGGCGGAGGATCGCGCCGTATCGCCAATGCGTCGGCGATGCATCGGCACCGTCGGCATTAACAAAATCGGGCGCCACATCGAGCCGCATCGCCGATGCATCGGCGATGCGGTGCGATCCTCAGGCCGCATCTACTCCAACCCTATCTGGGAAGCCTAGAACAACGAGTGGTGTGCGCCCCAGGTGCTCGGACCACTGGGGTGGCTGCAGCGATGGTCATCGGCGCGGCTTCCGCTTGCCCAGCTTCTCGCTGGGCGTCGGCTGCTGCTCTGCGTGCTGATGCGTGATTGTGGGCCAAAGGCGGCAGATCTTGCGCCTTCCCACCCAGACCCTGCGTGCCCCTCGGATAACGCCCGAAGCAACCGCATGCCACACCAAATGAGCCAAGTCAGGACACCATGCTCCTCGGACTGCACGACCGCTTGCGGTCACGGTTAATGCCTTGCGCTGGCTCTGTCGCAAATGCCCCGGGCCTAGAGGCAAGCCTCCCGCGTCTACCAGCGCGTCGGCGCTTACCTCGTCCACCACGTCGAATGCCACGGCGTCCTCGTCCAGGTCTGAGAGCTCGGGACCTGACGCAAGTGCGCATTCGCCATCTGGTGGGCCCTGACGGAGGTGCGCCTTCGCCATCTCGCGGGCCTGCCGCGTGCGCTAATGTCGCAGCCTCCTTTGGAGGAACTCGACGACACCGATTCCCGCTAATTACCCCCCACATCTCTCCAGGAGTGAGTTCTGACGAGCACGCCGAGACGACTCAAGCCATGGCGACGAGGGACCAGAAGCGGTGTCGGTATCTGTTCCTTCTCCGAGGCGAGGGTGCGCCTTCGCCATTTGGCAAGACACTCGCGCGCGCGCCCATGCCGCAGCCTCGTCGCTAGCCACCAGCCGTGTGCCGTGTACCAACCTCGGTCAGCGCGCTGCTCCGACCCCATCTGGGAGGCCTAATTCACCACCCCCTCCTGGCCGCCCCCGTTGCCCCCGCGGCTCCCGGGCCAACCCGCGTGCGCCCCCGCCCGCGGCCGCTGGCCACCGACCTCGCGGCGTCGCCGCCTGCCTCGCCTGCGCTCGCGCCCACGGGGAGCTATGATGATCCGCAGAACGCGTGCGAGCGCACACGTGTCCTGGTCCATCGAGGCCCTTCAATATAGAGGCCTCCCGAATGGGGTCCGCGTGGATAGGGGTCCGAGGATCGCGCCGTATCGCCGATGCATCGCCGAAGCTTTCGCGATGCAGCGGCGCTTCGGCGGCGATCCCAAGGGGAGAATGCAGAGAGGGCGGGCCTTCTCGGAAGACTCGGAAGGCCTTCGGTCTTCTGAGAAGTGTTCCAAGCCTTCTTCGAATACAGAGGCGGCAGCTCAGAAGGCAAGGGGGCGTCTGAGAAGTTCCGCCGACTTCTGAGAAGGCCTCCGCCCTTGAGGAGTTCCGATGACCCTTATACAGAAGCCTCCCAAGCTGGGGTTCGTCTAGATCGGGTCGGAGGATCGAGCTGCATCGGCGGTGCCTTGCCGACACATCGGCGATGCAGCGGCGACGTCGGCCATGAGTCGGCGCCGTCGGCGTGGAGACAATCGGGCTCCGCATCGAGCCGCATCGCCAATGCATCGGCGATGCGTCGCGATCCTGCGACCATCTACTCTGACCCGATCATCTGGGAGGCCTAGATCAGAACGTGTGCTAGCGCAAACGTGTGCTGGTCCATCGAGGCTCTTCAGCACGAGCAGGCGGAGTAATGCATGCCGACGCAGGCTGCGTGCTATCGGCGGAGCCGAATGGGATAAACACTCTCTGGGCTGACACACGTCCTGAAGACCATCGAGAAACATGGGCCTTCGTCGGTGGCACCCCGTTATGGCGACGCTGGCCCTGGGGGCACTTTTGGCTGGGCACGCTTCGACCAGGCGCGCACATCCACGCCGCAAGCAGCGGTGTGCACACGGGTCTGGCGGCCGCCCGACGCGGCGACCGTGCGCGGCTGGCCCAGGGCGGAGCGGAAGGAAGAGAGCGAGGGAAAGTGCGAGGAAGAGGGCAGAGAATGATGGGGCGCAGAAAGTCTGACGTGCCACATGTCCATCTCTGCCTGACCTGCTTCCGAGCAGCGAGCGATGTACCATGCGGGCATCTCCCGACGACTCGGCTGTTCCACCTCTCCCCAATCCCCCTTCTCCGGGGCGCGCAAACATAAATTAGCGATCCATGGATTTGGCGCGCGGTCGTCGAGTCCATGGATCGGGGGAAGTGTCCTCCCCCAAATGCGGCCAGTGCCGAATCGCTCGGCGTCGGCGGAAATCAGCGACCCCCCAGTGAAACGGGACCTGTCGCTAATCCACGCTCCCTTGATCCATGTTTGCGATTGCCTGACTTTCGCCGTGGCCGAGCTGAAAGAGAAGCGGTCCCGCCCATAGCAAGTTCTACGAGGCAGCAGCTCTCCAGGTGGTCGAACTGCTTGTTGACCCCCATGTCGGGTGCCATGTCGCTCATGACCACGTCCAGCTGCGGAACGCTGCCTGGGCATGGTCGCGAGACGACGCGCGGAGCTTCACCTCAACCTTCGCTTAGCCCCACCCCGCCCCTTCCCCCTGTCAACGCCTCCCTCAACCTCCGTCCTTCCGACCTTCTTCTCCACCCGTGAAGCTTTCCGCCCCCCGTCTCCTTCCCATTCTCTCTCTGTCCCCCCTCCCCCTCCCACCCTCCTCGCCCCCTCCCGAGCCCTGCCCCGTTCCCCACCCGCTTCAGCGTCTCTCCATATCCCTCCCTCGGCCTTTCCCGTCTCTGCCCAGTTCTGCCCCCTGTCTCCCACTGAGCTTCCCACCTGCCCCCCCTTGCCACTCCACCCCCCACGCACGAGGAGAAACTGGAGAGTAGGAGAACGGGCAAGAGGGGAATGCAAAGGAGCTGGCGTGGGGAAGAGGAAGGGGGGGGAGGGGATTCCTCCTCCTCCTCCTCCTCCTCCTCCTCCTCCGCAGTCCCCCTCCTCCTCCTCCTCCTCCTCCTCCTCCTCCTCCTCCTCCTCCTCCTCCTCCCCCTCCCCCTCCTCCTCCTCCTCGGCGGCAGGTAGCCCAGCAGCATGCGAGAACACACCATGCCACCTCACACGCTTCGAGGCCCATACTCTCGCAAGGGCCCTTCAGCCCCCAGCAGCAGCCATCGCGGCGGCTCGCGGGCCGAGGCCTCTCCTGGGCTGCTCAGGACGGCTGGTCTCGGCCCCTGCGCTGCAAACCGCAACTCCAGGCTGGCAGACATCGTTACCGAGTGCCCGTCCCAGGACATGTTTGCTCTGTGCGGCACCCAACAGGAGAGCAGCGGCGACGTCACCGAAGATGAGCTCGCCATCGGTAATTTCAAATGTTGTCGGTCTGGTTTCCAATGAGGGCCCCTCGTCACAGAAATAATTTCGAGCACCAAGAAAAGTGTCGAAAGAGTGCCGAAACAAGGTCGAAACAGTGTCGGACGAGTGTCTCCCGGGGCCCGAGACCTGAAAGCCCTAAAGTTTTTGGGTGACCCCAAAAGGTCTTTAATAAACCCGCGGGCAACAATGGGAAACAAAGAATCTGTACGCCGGCTTATTGACGGATTGGGACCCCGGCAATAGTTAGAAATTAATTATTCTTGTCGGCGGGTGCATGAGAGGTCATGAGAAGTGCTCAAAAATCCCATCGCTCAACGCCTGGCGGCCTCCTCCTCCTCCTCCTCCTCCTCCTCCTCCTCCTCCTCCTCCTCCTCCACTCCAGCACACCACCACACAGGAGAAGGAGGGACGAGTTACTATTCTCCGCCGAGAGCCTGGGGGGGGGGGCATCATTGAAGACCCTCTGCGGTTACTTTGCTGGTGCTCGAATTTTTTCTGGTGGCCAAGGCTGAAGCAGGTTGGAACATCATAACACCAGACGAAGGAGGAGAGCAAGGTGGATGGCGTCAAGAGGGGAAGAGAGGGGAGGGAAAAACCAGAACCCGCAGAGGTGACCCGAAGGGTCCCCTCCCCCCAGCCCTTCACAACCTCCACAAGGAGGGCGGGGAGGGGCCGCCACGAATGGCGGCGAGGTTTCTGGCCGATTAAAAGTGCGTTTTTTAATGTTTGGCGATGACGGGCGTCATGGGGGGGGGCGACGGGGCGGTATGAGGCAACGCCCCCCGCCCCCACCGAGTGGCTCCGGCACCGAAGCCGCGCCCGCGCGCGCGACACGACGAGCGACGAGCGACGAGCGACGAGCGACGACGACGACGACGACGACGACCACGCGAGCAGCATGTAGGTGGCGACCTGCCCCACTGCGACTGCGTACACCACAGCGCTCGCGTGCAGCACGGCGCGCGTGTATACCACAGCGCCTGCGTATACCGGAACAGAAGTGTGCAACGCAGCGCTTGTGTACACCACAGTGCTTGCGTACACTACAACGCCGGTGTACATGTGTACACCGCAGCTACCATGTGCAACGCAGCACCTGTGTACACCACGATGCTTGCGTGCACCGCAGCGCGCGTGCACGCCACAGCGCGTGTCTAAACCGCAGCACCCGCGTGCAACGCAACGCTGGTGTACACCGAAATGCCTGCGTGCATGGGACAGGTAGAAAAAGGAGCATGTACGTGAGGATCTGCTGGGGACAATCAGACGCCACGTCAGGACAGCGTTGATCATCGAATGCGACGTTCTTCCCTCCTCCCTCCTCGTCCACCTCCACCACCTTCTCCTCCTCCTTTTCCTCCTCCTCCTTTTCCTCCTCTTCCTCCTCTTCCTTCCCCCCCTCGTGCGGGCTGGCGCTACGGGGAACGTGCGCATGCCAGCGCGCACCGCAGAATGGTCGATTGAATCGGTCGACTTGGTTCTCGGACGGCCAATTTGGCTGGAGCCTCCTGGACGCAGACGGGCGGACTCGGGAGGACTCGTAGATTCCAGCGGCGCTCCGTTGTCCATAAGGATTATGATATTTTGTTTCCCATGGAATCCACAAGCGCCCCAGTTTGTCATAGGGATTCGTTATAATATTCTGTATAAGACAGTGGTGCTGGGTTGCACACGGTTGCTGTGGTGCACACAGGCGCCGTGGCGCACAGAGGCACTGCAATGCACGCAGGCATTGTGGTGTACACTGGTGCTGTGTTGCACACGGCTGGCGTGGTGCACGCAAGCGCTGCGGTGTGCACAAAACCTTTTGTGCCCGCAGGCACGGTGGCACAAACTGACGCTGTGTTGCACGCGGTTTCTGTGGTGTACCTAAACGGCGTGGTGTACACAGGCGCTGTGGTGCACGCAGGCACTGTGGTGTACACAGGCGTTGTGGTGCAAATCGCCACCTACATGCTGGCGCTACCCGACCTCCGCCATTCCCAGGCATTCCCAAACGACGCCGGCGCGAAACGTGTCGTCATCGACCCCCTTCCACCCCCCCCTGGACGATTGCCGTCATTGGCCCGGAATGAAAAACAAGCTTCAGCCGCGTCCGCGCGCACGACGACTATGAGTGAAGAGCGACAAGCCACGAGCGACGACGACGACGACGACGACGACGACGACGACGACTGCAGACCAGACTCCTATGCGGATTCCCACGCGAACACCAATGCGCACGGCGGCACTGCCCGGAGCGCACTGGAGGGGGGAGAGTTACGTCATAGGGGGCGAGGGGGGAGCGGGGGCCACGACGCCCGTCATGCCCCAAGCAAAAAAGAAACGTGCTCTAAGGAGGAGGGCAAGGTGGATGGCAGCAGTCGTGTTTGTAAGGTGGATGGCAACAGTCGCATTTGTAAGATGGATGGAGTTCTTTCCGGTGATCCAGGCTAAGGTAGGTTGGAACATCATAGCACCAGATGAAGGAGATGGGCAAAGTGGATGGAAGCAGTCGCGTGTTCATGCACGTTTCGAACTGGGCCGCCGTCGAAAGACCTCCAGAGCCGCCCCTCTTTGTTCCAAAACCGATGCGCAGACCAGCGGCTCCAGGCTGCCAGGCGAGCCGCCGCAGCACAGCGGCGGGGGCGCAGAGGGAGACTCGGCAGGGCCTTCGACAACTGCGCCTCCGAGGCGCACACCAATGCCATCGAACGACTCAAACGCCAACTCAGGGACGCGGCTCGAAGACACTACGAACGAGTCCGGGCCCGCAGGCTAGAAGAGCTCCGCCTCGCCCTCTCCCAGCTCTGGACAGCTACGGCTTCGAAGCGCAGACGTATGCCATCGAGCGACTCGATCACCAACTCTAGAGGCCAGAAAATCCACTCCAATAATAGCCGCCCCGACACGCGAAGTCGCTTAGTAAACGCGCCCAAAGAGGAAATCGAACAGGGCAAACCTTTTTGTAGACGCCCAGGGCCGTTTAGTAAACGCCAAGTGTCTGGTCGGGGTGGTTCTCTCCCCTTGAAACTCGGGGACGCAGCTTGAAAACACAACGAACGAGTTCGGGCCCGCAGGGTAGAAGAGGTCCGCCTCGCCCTCCCTCAACGCAAATATTACGTAGTTCACAAGCTGAGCCGCATGATCGCGGGGAAAGGCCACGGACCCGCAAGCGTCAGTTCCGCGCTCTCCCTCAATCGCAAGCATGCGCAGCCGCTTGGGCCACTCGCATGCAGCTTCCCGCAGCTAACGGAGGGTGCTCGGCCACTGCTCCTTGGCTCGGCAACGTCCAGTCCGAAATCGACAACTCGAATCGACCACCTCGCGATGATCTCGAAGCTGTCGCACTCGCCATGATCGATTTCGAGTCGATGCCGCGATGCATCTTCAATATTCGATTCTGGAGGACGTGGCCCGAATGATAGTGCCACCCCGAGCTGCTCAGGATATTGCATCACCCTACGCGGGCGAACGATCGCCGCCCTCAAGGGAGAGGAGGGGTGGGTCTAGAACCGATGGAGATCCACTGCAAGGGGACGGATCTACTTAAGATGTTACTCTGGGCCTGCAGCCGGTGGAAGCGCGCGCCTGTGGCTTGGCGCGCTGCTCAGGCGGCCCGCCTTCCCAAGAGCGCCGAGCTCGATTGCGACGCACGCTAGGACACAACTATCGTGCTGGAGCCCTGCGTCGGAAGACCAACCCCTGGAGTCCACCCGACTGGGTCTATGGAGGCCTAAACAAGAGAAGACGGGAAACAGCCATGCCAGTGCAAGTTATAAACTGCTACCGCATGCAGAAAGGCGGGGTCTCTCATATGCTTCGCTGCCACGGTGCCACGAACGCTGTTTTCTCACTGGAGCACGAAGCATCACTGGCCAGTATCGAGGATATCTATCCTCATGGCAATTTTGAGTTCATCAGAGATCGCATCAACAAAAGCGCATTACATAGAATCTGAATCAGGCTGTTTTGCGTTTCCGCCCTGGCAACGGAGTATTTCCAGGCGGTACCAATGCCGCCCTGATGTTCATGCGCACCTTCTCGCAGCCCGTCCTGCAGCGCACAGCTGACCAGTTCTGCGCGAATGGATGGCACGCTGCAGTAGAGCCCAGGCGCCCGCGGGGCACGGACGCGAGGCAAGTGGCCCTCGCAGGCTCCGTCGACGACCTACCCAACAAAGTATTAAAAGTGGGGAAGTGGGCGGCGGAGGAACAGCTGGGTAGCAGCGGGTTCAGCCGCGGAGACCACGGCGATCAGCGCAGGGATGGAGGAGGTGGGAGCGACGCAGGACATAAGTAAGCAGGAGAACATCGTTTCTCTCGCAGGCCAAGGGGGGCACTCGCTTGCCAGACTCCTGCATGCAGGAGCAGTTCAAGGCATCGCTGGCGCTTGCAAACATCACGCGCGTTGTCTAGGAGGCCATTTCTCTTCGACTTTTTCCCCCGCGCCCGAGATCGGCAAACGGCAGCGGGCGCTGCGGATCAGCTTCTACGCCATGAGCAGTTTCTGGTACTGCAATGCCCACTGGAGGCTCAAGGTGAACCTCGTCAAGGGGCCCCTCGTCAACTGCGCCCTGTCTGGGATGGAGGTTTGGGCCAAGTCTGGGGGGCCTCTCTTGCCAAGGGGCTTCGATGGGCTCGAAGGGTTCATCGTAGGCAACTGCAGGATCATTCTCTCGGGCACATGCGAATGGAGCTCTGGACATGCTAAGACTCTCTCAAACCACGACGTCCTCAGGAGGTTCGGTATTGGGCCCCTCTTCTTGGCACCCAGGATGCGCGGGCCCAGGTGGTATCTGGAGCTTTCGGGGGGCAAGGAGTTCCACGGGCAGTTCTGCGCGGCTATGCTAGGTATCATGTCGGTAGATACGACGATCTGGTCGAAGGTCGAGTACCCCACACAGGGCACCCATGGGCGCCTCAGTTGCAGCAAATCATTGAATCGCTCGCCTGCACCGAGGCCGGCGAGGATCTACTTCTCGATGCAGAGCATCGCCTCGGTCGTGTGCTTTTTGATTCGGAGCTATGCGAGCAGTTCCAGCGCCTCGACATAGGGGAGCTGCGGGCTTTTTTTCTCCTTCGACCCGCCACCAGAGCGGCAAAGCAGACGGATACCGATGGCGAGGATTGTATCTACGATGAACGAGCACCCTCGCCCGCGGCCGCGCTCCCGTGCTGGACCCACAGTGAGGTCTTTCAGCCTGCCGCCTCCCCATCTTACTCCTCCTGAGGAAGCCTTTTCTCCGCCCGTGCCCCTCCGCTCTCAGCGGCCCATAGGGCCCTTCCCTGGAACGACGCTCGCGCCTCCTCACATAGCCAACACAGCAGGTAGAGTGGTTGGGGGGTTCAGAGACTGTTTTCCACTGATTCCCAGATGGGAGTCTGTAAGCAGCATGGTTGCCGCAAGGCGAAACGACAACAGGGGGTCAAGCAATGACTCGAACACCCCAGCCCGAGCCAGAAACGTTTTTTGTTCTTTCTTGATGCGCTTGAGAACTAAACTGAACTCCTCGGCGGCGCGCGGTCTGAGAGCTCTTTGATTGAATGGGTGCTGGCGCAACCCCATGGTGCTGAGCACCGGTCCCCCTGTAACAGCAGCGGCCTAGCACCCAGCAGGCGCCGAGCAACCAAACAACGGCCGCCTCAGAGGGGGAGGAGTTGCGCTGGCTGGGGCCTAGAACAAGGCTGACCATGCCCTGCGATCCGGCGTCGCAAGAAATGCATCATGGAGAAAAATCTCGCCCAGAGCCCTTGACCCCATCTTTTTGCCTCATTTTGCGTGATGGATCGATCTGTGAGGGTCCCAGGGCGCAAAAGCGGGCGGAAACGCCCGCTGTGAAACATTGCAGCGCCAGGACCTCAAGGGAGAGCGTGCCGCCGACCAGAAGGACCCAGCAGCCCAGCAGCGGCTCCAGAACCGGCGCGCCAGGGCGGCGCCCACACTTGTCACCGCACCGACCTTGCAGACGTGCTGCAGCAGATTTGCGCGCGGATCTCTGTCAATGCAAACTCCGAAATGGCGATCGAACAACGAAATGAATTTCACGCGGATTTGTTTTAGTCTTGGTTCCTGGCCAAAAAGGAAACCCGCACGACACTCACGTCGAAATCCGGAACGAGATTCTCTGGGACACTCCGGGCCCATCCGCCCTATGAAACCCGAACGAAATCCGCTCTGCGATGTCGGCGCCGTGGCACTTGCCAGCTGCGCCCAGCGGCGATGCTGAGATGAGCAGACGCAGCGCCTGCAGCCCGGCCTCGCCGCCGCGCGTCACGGCGCCGCGGGCTGCCGCCGCGCCCCTGGCGCTGGCCCCGTCGCTCCCGCCCGCGCGGCGCGTGGCCGCGTCGGGGCCGGACTCGGTCCATTCCCGCGCGGGTGGCGGCGCCCAGCGCAAGCTGGCCTGGCTCGAGCAGGGACCGACCGCCCCGGCAGTCTTATAGGCCTACCAAGAAGAATTCTCATAACCCCTCAATGTTCCAAGAACAGAAACAAGGTTCTCAGAACATAAGCCCGATGTGTTAAAACAAGACAACCCCGACCAGAAATGTTCTAAGAACTTTTCGTTGAAACAACAAAAAGGTTATTAGGACATTCTTTGGCAGGGCCTATAGGCCTATAGGCGAGCCAGGACGCTTCGCCACTGCTTCACTGGCGCAGGCACCCGACTAGATGCGGCGTCGACGCCGCGCTGCGCAGGCCACCAGGGCTGAGCAAGACGTCCGCCACGGCCGCGGCTGGGCTCCCGCACTGCCCAGCAGAACGGTAGCCACGCCGCGCTGCATCGCAGCGGTCAGTCGCTGGCGGATGTCCGCCAGGCTGCCTGCGCGCCCCTCGTGCGTGGGCGCCTGCGCGCGCAGCCGGCCAATCCGGCCGCCTTCCCAGCGCGGCCGCAACCGGGACTCGGCCGGGGTAGCGGCGGTGCTTCTGAGCCTCCTCCTCCTTCTCCTCCTCCTCCTCCGCCTTCTCCAACCCTTTTCCTTACAAAGAATTTCTCCCTGTCGCACTCCGAAACCAGTTTTTAGGGCGGTCCAGGCGTTTCGCCTTTGACTTCCTCACCATGTATGACCCTGAAGCTTAAAACTTGACAACAGTTTCACACATGGAGGGCAGGTCGTTTTCAAAATGTGGCTCTCGCCTTGGCGCCGGGCACACTCGTCATAAACATTTGTAAGAGCTTCATGGATTGAGAGCGAGTCGGTTTCAGCATGTGGTTCTCGCCTTAGCGCCGCGCACATTCGTGATAACAAATTCAACGTGTTTCACGGATTGAGGGCGGGTGGTTTTCAACATGTGACTCTCGTCTTATCTCCGCGCACATTCGTTTGCAAAGAATTGCCAGAGCTTCACGGATTGAGGGCAGGCCGTTTTCAAAATGTGGTTCTCGCCTTAGCTCCGCGCACACTAGTTTGAAAAAATGTGGAAGAGCTTCACAGATTTGAGGGCGGCTCCTTTCCAAAATGTGGATCTCGCCTTAGCGTCCCGCTCATTCGCTTGTAAAATCTACAAGGGTTTCACGGGCCCCCATGATCAGCGTACCAGAAATGGTGTTCTGGAAGGACTCAGGACTATGAGGGTGCAACAGTGATGTTGATTCGCGGTGTTGGAGTCCCAAGAATGGCTTTCTGGCACGATTCAAAACCGTCAAGACGCAACAGCCAGGTTGATCCGTGGCGTTCGAATCCCGACAACAATGGCTTGACATGCGTCAGGGTCTTCAAAAGGTTGTCTTCCATCGGGGCAGTTCCCTGTGGAAATGAACTTTGTAGGGGCCTATGAAAAGGGAGCTTGAAGGGAGGGTGGATTCCAACATCGTTGATGATTCTTGGGTTTTCACTGGTCCTCCTCCTCCTCCTCCTCCTCCTCCTCCTCGTTCTCCTCCTCCTCATCTTCCACCTCCTCCTCCTCCTCCTCCTCCTCATCCTCCTCCTCCTCCTCCTCTCTGGAGGCCAGCCCTGACTCTCGCTTCGGGGGCGCAGCACAGCATTATCAGGAAGAGACACTGTAGGAGGGTGAAGGGAGGGGGCTGCTATGGCGTCGAACTCCAAGGTCACCCAAAGCACGGATCCACCTGTCTGCCGTGAGGGAGAGGGAGTCCCGAGGGAAGCGGGTACTTGACCCTGGGGCTCTGTCGGGGACTTGTTTTCTGTCCAGACCTATATTTCTTGACGACCCCAGATCCTGGGACGGGCCCCAGGAGCCCGAAAGCGGCGAACAAAACTCCAGGGCCCCTTTCACCCCAAACCCCTTCTTTTCATCTTGAGCTCTCAGACAGCTGGCCAGAGCGATCGCGGCGCCTCCGCGGAACTTGTAGGCGTCCTCCACCCGCGTCTTGCAGTTAGACGGGAGCCGGAGCGTGACCCTGCGCCGAAAGCGCGACAAATCATCTTGCTGCCTCCCTGCCTCCTCGTGTCTCCTGCCGCTTACGGCGGGTTTACATGCCGATGATGTCAGCGTCGGCTTCAAACACCGCGCAGATCCTTCAACCGTCGTTGGTCGCGGATTTCTGATAGAGAAGACTGTTTGATGCAGGCCAGTGTTGGGCGAATGGCGACGTTCAACCCTGAACGCCCGCGCTAGACTCGTCGATCCTGACGTACAGAGGCCTCTCATCGGTTCCCTCGTCAGTGTCATCCAATACGAAATTACGGGTTGCACTACAGCAAAGGTTACTCTCTCGGAGCACCCAAGCTGACACTGTGAATATATATATATATATATATATATATATAGAGAGAGCTCCTTATATGTCCGATGCCCCCTGACCATTCCTCCATAACAACCAGGCGTTCCAAATTAACGCATACGTAGCACCCCGCAGATGCGGATAAGAGTGAGGGGGCGGTGGGGACGTCGGCAGTCTGCGAGACTCTGGAGAAGCCCACCGCAGTCGCCAAAGTTTGGCAAATTATACACGGAGTTCCCCGCAGGTGCCAATTTTTCATTAAACCACATGTGGGTAGTTCGCGGGTGGGTCGCGGCTGGGTCGCGGGTGGGTCGCGGCTGGGTCGCTGTAGGGTTGCGTTTGGGTCGCGGGTGGGTGGCGGGTGGGTCGCGGGGTGGGTCGAGGGCTGGGTCGCGGGGTGGGTCGCGGGTGGGTCGCGGGTGGAACGACGACAACAAACAACAACAACGCAACAACGCAACAAGCAGAATCCTCACCACGGATCCCCACTTCAGCCACGCACTCAGCGACAATGAATGACCATTAGGCCCCTGACTCTGATCAGACCCATCCTCGTCCTTGCTCCCCCCCTTCCCGTCCCCTCGCCCTCCCCCTCCCATCACCCCTCCAAGCAATCCTTTGGAGCACTCCGAGTGGAATCAGCCCCCCTCTAAGAATGCAAACATAAGCTCGGGGACAAGCATGCGGTCTCAGAGATTGGGTTTCGCACGAAATCGCATCGCTCCCTTCCCGGACACGTCGGACACGCCCTGCCCATGCTGAAACTGGGCTCGACGGCCACAGGAGTGAAAGGGAAGAGGGAGAGTCCGGGCACGAGGAGGGAAGGAAGAAGAGGGGTGTTGAGGGCTCAACGGCTTATGCTGTCCCTCGACTCGCGCTGGAACGTCCACGATTTCGATTTGCTCCAGATTCCCCTGGAGGCCTCTGGGTGGTACCTAGATTGATCTGGATGTACCTCAACTTATCTGGCTCGATGCCCGCAGGTCGGCTGGCGAAAAATCGTCAAGCCTTTATGGAGAGTAGCGGGGGACCAGCCAGAAAAGTAAGGGACGAGGGAGGAGGTGCATGTCGGCGACTCCGAAGGGTGTGGTTTGCAAAGGGTGTGGTTTGCAACTCGCACCCTGGGGGGTGGCGAGCACCTCGGCAGAGATCTCCGCCGCGCCACGCCGAGACCCAACGAGGGCAATGTGAACGACGACTCAGACCGCAAATCCGCCGACGCCTTGTGGGTCTCCAGGCGTGTGAGATTGTTCTACCCCCACAATCCCCCACCAGGTAGGTACCCCAACTGGCAATTCCCCGCTCCCCCCCCTGGCCCGGGAAAGCGCATCATGGGGGAATCGAGGGCCTAAAATCGGGCCAAGAGGGCCCCAAGAAGTCCTGAAGACTGTCTAAGAGGGCCCCGAATCGCGGAAAGATCGTTCCATGATGCCCAAGTTGGCCTCCAGACGGCCCAAGAGGCCCCCAAAGCGCCTCTAAGAGGCTTCCTAAAGAGGGCCCCAAGTGGCAAAAAAATATTGATTAACTCAAATGGTTGAAAGAATTTGGCATTCTCGCCTTGTCCGTTTCCCGACACTCCAGGAGCGCCCAAGAGGTCGCCAAGATCGCCCCAAAACGGCCCAAGAGGGCCCCAAGACAGCTCAAGAGGCCTCCAAGAAGGCCCAAGACGCCCCCAAGACAGCTCCAAGAGGGGGCCCAAACAGACGACCCGAACAGACATTTCGAGCCCCCGGCTTCGAGGCCCCCAGGAGGCTCCAAACAGGCCCCAGAGGGCCCCCAAGGAGTCTCCGAGAGACCCCCCAAGAACCACCAAGAGGCCCGACCCCTGGGGCGCTGGCGGCGCCTCTTGGCGTGCAGAACGACACGGCAGAACTTCGCAGCAGACGAGCAGGGCAAACCACCCAGCGCCGTCTTTTCGTGTTCCAGGCACCCTCTGCAGTCGCCGAGCATGAGCCGGGGCCAGCGAACTGTTCTGCCCCCCGGTGCGACACCCTCCCTCCCCACTCTCGGAGGTCGATGCCCAGGACTCGGCCCTGGTCGCCCACGCAGTCGGCGGCATACATGGTCCTCCCCGTTTGCGTTTTCTCCTGCCGTAGCCTCCTCCCCTTCCTTCCCATCATCCTGCTCGTGTGGCTGCCATTGTGACACCGCCGCCATCACCACCTCCATCTCGTGATCCTCATGTGCACCATCCTCAACCGCCTGGCCGCTCTGTGTCCCATGGGAGATCCTAGCCGATCGCTGATAACCTCCCAGGAGAGCCCTCCTCCTCCCCCACCATTGCAGCTGCTGCCTGCCAGCCCCCGCTCCGACTTCGAATAGCCTGCGCGATCGCTGTCCCTCAAGGCCCCCGAGTCCACGAGCCAGGGTAGCAGCCCAGGTCGAGGACCTTGTGCCCTGGCTTGAAGATGCCAAGACGCTGGTCTATCTCCTGGCGTCACGGTGGGAGTGCACGAGGAAGACCCACCCCGTCCTCGTCGCCATCTTCGCAGCAGTCCGCTGGCCCCCGCTCGCTGGCGGGGAAAAGGAGTGCGAGATAATGCGCCCTCCCCCTCCTTGAGCAGGGACCGACCGTCCCGGCATTCCTATAGTCATACAACGAAATGTTCTTAGAGCCAAAACACGTTCTAAGAGCAAAGCAATGTTCTTAGAACATAAACCCAATGTGTTAAAACAAGACAGTCCCAGCCAGAAATGTTCTAAGAACATTTCGTGGGAACCACAAAAGGTTCTTAGAACATTGTTTGGTGGGGCTATAGGCGAGCCGGGACGCTTCGCCACTGCTTGACCTCCCCCTTTCCCCCCTCCCCTGGGGCCCAAAGGCCGATTACAAAGGGGGGGTCCCTGTGAGCTCGCCGGCGCCTTCCGGGGGCCTCCGGAGCCTCCAACAGGGCTCAAGACTGACCAACAGGCCCACAAATAGCGCCACTGCAATCCAAAAGAGCATCGAGACGCCCAAAGATAGCGCCTAGACGGTCCAAGATGTTCGGAGACGGTCCACGACGCTCCCAAGACCGCTCAAGAAAGCTCCTAGAGGACCGCCGCAAGGGCACCAAAAGGCAACAATCGTCCCAATACCTTCCGAAAGCGTGCATTTTGTCCATGCTCACCTTTCCGTCTAGACAGCGTCCAAGACGGCCGAAGGGGCCCCCAAAATCGTCCCAAGACGGCCCATCAGGCCTCCAAGAGGGCCCCAAGATGGCCCAAGAAGACCCTGAGACGGCCCCATGGGAACCCGAGGAGGGCCCCAAGAGAGCCCAAGGGGGGAATCCGAACTGATGTTTCGAGCCTTTCACTCCAAGACGGCCCCAAGAGCCCCCCAGATGCCACCGAGGAGCTCCCATGAGGCGCCAAGAGGCCTCCAACACGCCCCGAGAAGCCCCCCACGAAGCCTCCAAGAGGCCCCTCCAAAACCTTTCAGATGCACCACGAGCCCCCCAACAGGCCCTGAGAAGGTATTCCAAGAGACCCTCACATTCATCCAAGAAATTCCTGACCCACAGCCCAAACCGGTGGCGGGTTGGGCCGAAGGCCACTAGACCTGGGACAGCACGGAAACGGAAAGAGCGCCTCAGGCACTTGCCCGAGATAACTCATGGCACCCTTCGCTCGTGGGAGCCTTGGTGTGGGGACCTTGTTGCGTCGCCGTCTCCGTTGGGAGCCCTGGTATTCAGAGATTGTTACGTTGCCACCCGTTCCTGAGCCTTGGCTGGGCCTTGGTGTCAAGAACTCCTCCTCCTCCTCCTCCTCCTCCTCCTCCTCCTCCTCCTCCGCCTCCGCCTCCGCCTCCGCCTCCGCCTCTTCCTCCTCCTCCTCTTCTTCCTCCTCCTCCTCCTCCTCCTCCTCCTACTCCTCCTCCTCCTCCTCCTCCTCCTCCTCCTCCTCCCCTTCCTCCGCCTCCTCACCCTTCTCCTCCTCCTCCTCCACCTCCTCCACCTCCTCCTGCTCCTCCTCCTCCTCCTCCTCTCCTCCTCCTCCTCCTCCTCCTCCCCCCTCCTCACCTCCCACCTCCTCCTCCACCTCCTCCTCCTCCTCCTCCTCCTCTCCTCCTCCTCCTCCTCCTCGTCCTCGTGCTCCTCCTTCTCCTCCTCCTCCTCCCCCTCCTCCTCTTCGGGCGCGCTGGGGAGCCTATTGGGGCCCTCTTGGGCTCTCTCAGAGCCCTCGGGGCCCTCTTGGCCGTATTGGGGCCGACTGGGGGCCATCTGGGGCCGTTGTGGGCCCCTTTGGGGCGCCTCGGGGGCCGTCTTGGGATGATATTTGGGGCCTCTTAGGCCGTCTTGGGCCCGTCTCGGGGCCCTCTGGGACTGTTTTGGGCCCGTCTGGGGCGCCGGCGGCACCGTCTTGGGACGATATTTCGGGCCTCTGGGCCATCTTGGGCCCGTCTGGGGGCTCTCTTGGACCGTTTTGGGCCAATTTGGGGCGCCCCTGGGGCTGTCTTGGGACGATCTTTGGGTCCTCCTCTTGGGCCGTCTGGGTCCCTTCGGGCACGGAAAAGGGGAGAACCCGAAAAACCTGCAAACACCCTTGGGAAATGAAGGTTTTTCGCCTCCTGAGGCCCTCTCGGGAACCCTCTTGAGGGCTTCTGGGGCCGTCTCGAGACCCTCTTGGACCGTCTGAAACTATCCTGGGGCCGTCTTGAGGCCCTCTTGGGCCGTCTTGGGGCCCTTGGGCCGCTTCACCTGCAAAAAATACAAAAAAAGCCATGGGAGCCGCCTGGGAGCCGCTTCACTCGAAAAAATACGAGGGAAACGGGCTATTAGACCAATCCCCCCGCGCCTCGCCCCCCCCCCTGCACCCCCCCTAAGAAGGGCATCGCCCCAACTCAACGTCACTCGCTCGTACCTCGCTCTTTCCGTCATCCGCCGCCCTCTGTTGCTTGCAAGATGGATGCCCGGCGTGCTGAATCCTATCATTTTTGGTTTTGGTTCCTTTTCCAAAAGAACTCCCCCTGGGGCTCCGGCGCGTCCCGCCGGCCGCCTGCCAGCCGAAATGATGCCGAAAATTGACCTGAACCCGCTCCAAAAGGTTTTTCCTTGTCCAGACGGTTGAAAGACGGCCCAAGATGGCCAAGATGCATCCCAGACGGCCAAGAGGGCCTCCAAGACGGCTAAGATGGCCCCAAGATGCCTCCAAGACGGCCCAAGATGTACCCAAGATGGCGTAAGATAGCCTCAAGATGGCCCAAGACGGCCCAAGAGGCCTCAATACGGCCCAAGAGACCTCCAAGAGGTGCTCCAGGAGGGCCCGCAGAGGCCAAAATCATAGATTGTCCTTGGGCATTTGCCTCTTTTCGGCATTCCGACGGCCCAAGACAGCTCAAGAGGCCGCCAAGATCGCCCCACTATCGCCCACGAGGCCTCCAAGAGGGCCCCATGACGGCCCAAGAGGCCTCCAAGACTGGCCCATGAGGGGCCCAAGACGGCCCAAGAGACCTCCAAGTCGCCTAAGATGGCCTCCAAGACGGCCCCGAAGCGCCCCAAGAGGACCCCAAGTTGGTTCAGAGAGGCCCCCAAGACGGCTCTCGACGGCGTCAGATGTGCCAGGAACCCACCAAGGTGGCCGAAGTTGGCCCGAAGCTGGCCCAAGACGGCCCAAGAGGCCTCCAAGAAGGCCTCCAGGAAGGCCCGAAAAGGCCAAAATCATTGATGTCCCATTAGTTGTTGAAAGATTTTGACATTTGTCTCATTTCGGCCTTCCGACGGCCCGACACGGCCCACGAGCCCCCAAAGATCGCCCAAAGATCGCCCAAGATGCCTCCAAGATGGCCCCAGAGCGGCCCAAGAGGCCTCCAAGACGGCCCCAAGAGGCCCCCATCTTTTAAGACGCCCAAGATGGCCTCCAAGATGGCCCCGAAGCGCCCCAAGAGGACCCCAAGTCGGCTTAGAGAGGCCCCCAAAACGGCTTCCGACGTCGTCGGACGGGCCAGGGCCCACCAAGACGGCCGAAGATGGCACTACGATGGCCCAAGACGGCCCAAGAGTCCTCTAAGAGGGCCTCCAGGAAGGCCCGAAAAGGCCAACATCATTGACTTCCCATGAATTTTTGAAGGGTTGTGGCATTTGCTTTTTTCCGGCCATCAGACTGCCCGAGACGGCCCAAGTGCCCCCAAAGATCGCCCAAGAGGCCCAAGACGGCCCAAAGAGGCCCCCCAGACGGCCCAAGAGGCCTCCAAGACGCTCAAGATTGCCTCCAAGACAGCCCAAGAGCCCTCCAAGACGTCCTCCAAGAAAGCCCGAAAAGGTCAAAATGACCTCCAGGCGGCCAAGATGACCTTCAAGATGCCCACGTGTTCCCCGAAGGCTTTCCAAACCGATTCGGGGAACACATGGTCTGATAGCTTGGCGGGTCTGGCCTCAACGTTCGGCCACATAGGCGCTTCCAAAAAGGTAGGGGGCGGCGGTGATTCGCCGTAGGCGTCTTCGATCCGCCGCCCCCTGCTGATTCATCACACGGGTGCCTGGTGTGCTAGACCCTACTGATTTTGTCTTGGTTCTTATTCTAAGCGAACTCTCCCCTGGGCCTCTGGTCCGTGCCGCCGGCCTCCTGGAAAAGGTGGTTGCCGTGCCTCCCGAACGATCGTCTCGCGAGGGACAAAGTGTTAAAAAATCGCGAGCTTGGGGTCCAGATGGCCCAAGATGGCCTCCAAGTCGGCCCAAGAGGGTCCAAGATGGCTCCGAGTCCGCCGAAGAAGCCTTCAAGATGGCCCAAGACGGCCCAAGAGTTCCCCAAGAAGCGTCCAAGGCGGCCCAAGAGGCCGCCTAGAGGTCCTCCAGGAGGGCCCGAAAAGGCCCAAATCATTGATTTCCCATAGGTTTCTGCAGGAGTTTGGCATAAGCGTCTTTTCGGCCTTCTGACAGCCCAAGACGGCCCAAGAGGCCCCCAAGGTCGCCTTCAGACGGTCCTGAAGTCCTCCAAGATGACCTCGTGACGGCCCAAGCAGCCTCCGAGACGGCCCCAAGAGGCCTCCAAGCTCGCCCAGGATGGCCCTCAATTCTACAATGGAGAACTGCTCCGGCCACCCGCGGCGTTTGCCCCGGCCTTTACATTTCCAGCCGGCGCGACCGTCCCAGCCGCCCGCGGCGCGTGCCCCAGCCGTGCATTGCGGAGCAGCGCCAGCGCTCCAGCCGCGCGCGGCGCGAGCTCCAGCCATGCGCCTTCGCCGAGCGGGGGGCGCCCCAGCCTGCCCGCGGCGCGGTTTCCCGCCGTGCTTTTTCTGTTCTGCCGAACGCCAGCGCTGCAGCCGCGCACGGCGCGGATTCCAGCCATGCGTCTTTACCCGGCGAGAGCATTTCCTGCCGCGCGCGGCGCGGCTTGCATCCGAAAGCGTTTGCCGCGCGCTCTCGCCGAGCGGGGGCGCTCCAGCCGCCCGCGGCAAATTCCCATCGGTAGATTCATCCACCGACCGCGGGGCCACCGCCCCGCGGGGGCCCAACGCGAGCGAAAGGCGCGGCTGGGCCCCATCCAGGAGAACGCAGCAATCTCACTGACATACGAATTACATCTCTCGTGGAAGGCGCAGAGGCGGGGCGGGGCGCCCATGGCGAACGCTTTCCCTGGCGCCAGTTCCAAGCCAAGGGGGTCGCGGAATCCTTCTACGCCGCGCATTGAACTCGCGCGCTCGATGTCTCTGACGGCTCAGTCCTCCGCGGAGTTATCCTGCAACGCCCGCCGAAGAGCCGCTCGAGGCAGAGGGCCCCGACGCCTCGGCGCGCCAGCGCACTGCCACCCCCGCGCGCCAGGTCGCTCGCACGGCATTTCGAAGGCGCCCCAACGAGCTGCGAAGCCACGGCGGAGCCAGATGGCCCCGCCGGCCTCTCCGCCGCCAGCCCTGCGCCCAACTTTCACCGCGAGCTGCTGCCAAAACCAGCAGCTCGAAACATCGACCTGCGAACGCATCCGCGCTCCCCGCAAAACCGGGGGCCAAATCTTTCTCGCTGAGCAGAACGGTAGCATGCATGCGATTCGCTGCTAGGGCTCCTGGACTGTCTACCTTCTGACTGTTGGACGTATGGCAATTCTCTGCGGCGCCGAAGCACGTCGCGCTGCCCTCTCGAAGACCCGCGAAGGAAACACTCAAACTCAAGCATGGCTGCGCCAGGCTCGCGCAAATCCTCTCCAGGCCCGTTCCTCCTCCTCCTCCTCCTCCTCCTCCTCCTCCGCCCCCTCCGCCCCCTCCTCCTCCGACTCCCCCACGGCGCCCAAAACCCTTGAAACTGATCCGTCGCTCGGGCTTCTCGGCGTTGGAAAAACGCCGCATGGCGCTCTTTGTTTTTTCTCTTCCTCATGTTCCTGCTACTCGTCCGCGCGACGAGACCCGTTGCCGTTCGGGCCCATCATCTCCAGCGCCGATGGCGGCTGAGCGAACGGCTTCGGCAAGACAAGCACTTTTCGGAGAGACTCTGTCCGGCCGCGGCGAAGCTTGACTGGTGGCCCGCAGCGGGCCTCGCCAATTCTCAAAGAAAGAACTGAAAAAGGCGCAAGAGCGATTGCGCCACTGACGTTCCATGGCGCACGTAGTCGGCCCCCGATATGGCGCGGCCAACCACTGATTCCAAAATCTTCTGGCCCACAAACCCAATCTCAAATTGCCAGCCGCGGCGTTCTCAATGACTGCGGCAAAAAAAAACGAAACTGGCCAGACTCCTTTCCATCTAGCACTCGTCGTCAGACAAACTCCAAAAATACAAAAAACTTGGCCAACCATTTTTTGTCTGGAAAACGAAAAAAGCCGTTCAAGTCGACTCCGCTACAGGCTGATCGCTGCTACGGGTTCAAATATTCCACCCCAATGGCCCGGTCCACGTCTAGCGCAACACGTCCGAAACTCTCGAACTGGAGCTGCTCTCTGCGTTGGACTGCGACGCCCACCTTGTCAGATGCTTTCTCTGGCGCACGGCGCGGCGTAACCACTGGCTTGCATCATGCGTTGAACCGCGTGCCCTGTGATGATCGTCGCTCTCATATCTGGTGGCGCGCACCTCTGGGCGCTCGAGGAACTTGCAGGCATGGGCATCGGGCGCGCTCTTGACTGCGGGACCGAACTTGAACATGTTACGCATGGTGAGCGCTTGTCCCAACCATCCCGTCGCGGTCCTCCACCTTCCTTCCTCCTCGACCCCCCTCCTCCCCCCTGCGTTTAGGCGCCAGTGGCACTGCCCACATGCGTCAGCCACAACCCAGCACAGCGTTTCATGGCCCCAGATGGGGGCTCCACCGAAGGCCCCACTGGCGCCGCCCGCATGCGTCAGCCACCACCCAACCACCCAGCACAGCGCTTCGAAACCCCATAGCGAGCTCCACCGAAGGCCCCAATGGCACCGCCCGCATGCGTCTGCCACCACCAACCACAGCGCTTCGTGGCCCCAGAACGGGGCTCCACCGAAGGCCCCAGTGGCACCGCCCGCATGCGCCAGCCAACACCCGACCACCCAGCACAGCGCTTCGCGGTCCCATAGGAAACTCCACCGAAAGTCCCAGTGGGGCCCGCCGCCTGCGTCAGCCACCACCCAGCATAGCGCTTCGTGGCCCCAGATGGGGGCTCCACCGAAGGCCCCACTGGCACCGTCCGCATGCGTCAGCCACCACCCAACCACCCAACACAACGCTTCAAAGCCCCATAGGGAGCTCAGCGTCAGCCACCACCCAGCACAGCGCTTCGTGGCCCCAGATGGGGGCTCCACCGAAGGCCCAAGTGGCACCGCCCGCATGCGCCAGTCAACACCCGACCACCCAGCACAGCGCTTCGCCGTCCCATAGGGAGCTCCACCGAAGGTCCCAATCCCAATGGCACCGCCCGCATGCGTCAGCCAACACCCAACACAGCGTTTCGTGGCCTCATGGGCAACTCCACCGATGGCCCCAGTGAGACCGCCCGCATGCGCCAGCGACCACCCAGCAGAGCGTTTCGTGGCCCCGCAGAAAGCTCGACAGAAAGACCCCAACGGCACCGCCCGCATGTCGCGACCCCGTTGATTCGGAGCTCCACCAAACCCCAGTGGCACCGCCCGCGTGCGTCACCCCCACCCGGCACGGCGTTTCGCGGCCCAGTAGGGAGCTCCAATGGCCCGCCCGCATGCGACCCCAACCAATACAACGGTTCGTGAGCCCATAGGGAGCTCCACCGAAGGCCCCAGTGGCACCGCCCGCATGCGCCCCCCCCCTCCCGTGGCCCCATGGGAGCTCCACCGAAGGCCTCAGCACCGCCCGCATGCGTCGGCCACCACCCAGTACAGCGATTCGTGGCCCCGTAAGGAGCTCCGCAGAAAGACCCCAGCGGCACCGCCCGCATGCGCTTCCCCCAACCAACATAACGTTTCGTGGCCTCATCGGGAGCTCCAGCGAGGGGCGCCGCCCGCATGCGGCAGCCACACCCGGTGCAAAGTCTCGTGGCCCATATGGAGCCACACCGAAGGCCCCAGTGCCACCGCCCGTATGCGCCCCCCCACCCATTACGGCACATCCTTCACGCGTTTCGTGGCCCCATAGAGAACTCCACTGAAAACGGCACCCACAAAGCGTCACTCACAATTGCATATGGTTGGGTCCTTCGCCAAGATCATTTTAAACGGCGTTTCGAAATTTGACGGACGGGGGGTCTGGCTCCGGACCTCTGCTTAATGCGGCTGTTTAGAACCGTGCGTCCTCTGGGGGAGAGGCTCCGCCTCCTCGACACAGGCGCAAAAAAACAGCCAAGATCCACTCCGCGGGGGGGCGGGGGCGAAGACCCTCGCCGATCGGCAAAACAATTAATAAAAAACGATCACATGTACAACTGGTGTTCCTGTTTTGCCATCATCGTGCTACCACATGGACTTCGCTCCTCTGCGTACTCTGGTGATATCTCGGCCTGCCTCCTCCCGCAGCTGCTTCCTCCGCGCCTCGACCACTGCGGCCTGGCCCGCTGCACCGGCCTCGGCAGGAGCCCTTCCTGATGGAGGAACGCGGGGCCCCGCTCCTGCATCGCTGTCCGAGGCTGCGCCTGGAGCAGGTGCTGGAGTAGGAGGAGTGCCAGGGGCAGCGACAGAAGCCCCTGCATCGCCCGTCTTGCGCTTCGTCGCGAGCCGGTCTGCAAAGTCGGCCACCTCAGGAGGGTGCTTCTCGAAGCCTGTCTTGGGGGAGCGCATGGCTTGATCGAGCGCCTGCTGGAGGAGTATGTTGCCTGCTGCCGACCTTTCTGCGACCATCTTCTTGTCCGGCTCTTGAAGCTCGACGCCCTCCAGAAGCTTGCCGGGGGAAAGCTGCATCTGGAAATCCTCCTGGGGCGCTGCGCCGACGTCCACGGTGGTCCTTGGGCGGGATGGTTTTCTGGGCTGTTGCCACCTCCGCCGCCTCTGCTTCAACCAGCTCATTGGTGGCCTTCCGCCATGTGTCCAATAGTCTTTCTCGTGTTCCTCCCGCGTGCGAATCCATAATTGTTTTGCTTTATCCAAGACGTTGCTCGCTCGACTGACTCTCCTAGATATTTCCTGGAACTCCACGGCAGGTCGCACCTGCTGCGGTTGCGATGGCTTTGGAGCCATGTCCTCCAGCAGCCCCTTCGTTTTGGACTGCTGTGCTGAATATGTACTTCCACCTGCCAGGGAACGGAGAGCCACTTGCAAAGAGACCCCTTGTACTGGCCCTGCGAGGTGCCTGCTCCACGTCAATGGCCTGGCCCTTCATGTCCGTGTTGCTTGCAGTGCCCAGTGCTCCATTCGCCTTCGAACTTCGATCCGCAGATGCACTGGTATCCAACTTGCCCAAGCCGGTCTGCATACACGAACTTCGGGCACTCCTCGCAGTAGACCGACCAGCGGCCTTGATGCACCCATGGCGGCCACATGGCATTTCGATGACGGTTCCATGGCGGCCGCATGGCACTTGGGACTGGTGGCCACTGAACTTCTGATGTTTAGGAAGCGCTTGTTAGCTGTTCGAGGTAGAGAACCCCAGGCCAGCGAGGATCTCGTGAACGAAACACCTGAAAAAGGTGACCTCGGGCCTGCCGCACACCTGCGGACAAGCTTCAAGCGTCGCAACACAGGTTTCGAACGTGAGCCCTACGGGTCGCCGACGCCGTCGTCACTGCCAGCGGCGCTAACAACACCCCACCTCCATCATCATCTACCTCCTCCTCCTCCTCCGACTCCGACTCCTCCTGATCATGGTCATGGGCATGGTGATGGTGATGATGATGACGATGATCATCATTACCAGAAGCAGCAACATCATTTTCGGCGCTACCCTCACCATCGTCAGCATTCTCGTCATCGCCATCGCCATCATCATCAATGTCGTCATCGGCATCGTCAACATCAACACCATCATCATCGTCATCATCATCATCATCAAAATCACCAGCATCACAAGCATCACCGTCATCGCAATCGTCCGCATGAACATCATCGTCATCCTGCCGTGACCGTCCAAAGCAGCATCATGAGCAGCATCATCAGTAGCATCATCATCACCGCATCGTCAGCGTCATCATCACCATCATCGTCATCATCATCCTCCTGCTCCTCCCAATTATCTCTTCAGCATCATTATCATCGCCACGGTGCATGCTGCATGGTACACGCTAAGTTGTGTAAGCTATTTGGGGCAAGCTATGTGGTGTAAGCTATGGTGTGCAACATACGCGGTGCGAGCTATATGGTGCCAGCTTTGTGGTGCAAGGAATGTGGTATACGTGATGTGGTGTAAGCTACATGGTGCAAGCTATGTGGGGCCAGTATACATGGTGCAAGGTGTGCAACAGTAAGCTCTGCGGTGCCAGGTGTGTTGTGAAAGCCATGCTGTGCACGCTATGCGGTGCAAGCCATTGGGTGCAAACCGTGTGGGGTTAGCTATGGGCGACCTCAACGACGAGCTAGCAAAATCGACGAGGTGAGCTCGTTGAGGTCGTCCATGTGGGGTCGGTACACGGGAACGGAGCCGCCGGGCCCGCGGACGGGCTCTTTTCCAGGAGAGCTCGGGCGGTGACAGACCCGAGCGGGGCCCGCCCGACCCACAGGCTGAGCTCGGCTCCTCAGACGTATAAAACCCCTAAGTGCAAGCTCTGTGTGCCAAATCATGGTCATCAACATCACCACCGCAAGACACCTCATCGTCACCGTCATCACCGCCATCATGATGGTCATCGTCATCACATCACCATCATCACCACCATCATCGTTAGCATCACCATCGTCGTCACCATCGCCATCGCAGTCTCCATACGATCCGAACCATCCTCGCCAGCATCCTCGTCGTCCTCATCGTCATCATCGTCATCCTCGTCCTCATCCTCGGAGCCATCGTCCTCTTCATCATTCGCATCATCACCATTCACCATCACCATCGCCATTATCAGCATCATCAGCATCCCCACCATCACCCATCATCGTCATCAACAAACTTCCATCCATCCATCCATCCATACACATCCTCCTCATCCTGTTCATTCCTCTCGTCCTCAAGGCTGAGCCCCCGCCCCAGCCAGTGGGCGGCGTTCGGCCGAATGTGGGCGGCCGCTCCTCAAGCTTGTAGTAGGACCGCGCTGGCTTCCCCTCTTCCTGGGGGGGAGGGGCACACTCAACGGCCGAATGGACAGAGAGAGAAGCAGGGAGAGACAGCGAGAGAGGGGGGCGGCGTGGGGTCGGGGGTGGGCGAGGGGTAAAGTTCCCACCACGACCGCTCAAAGCTGGCTATCTCGCTCACCCCCCCCGTCCTCCCACCGAATTAGCGCGGAAGACTGTGAGCAACGATTGCCACCAGGTGGACAGCGAGTAGGAACCAGCAAGGACGCCAGGTCATGCAGCACACGCTCGCGAGGTGCACCACGTGTGCCAGGTGCGTCGCGCGGCCAGGTGCGACAGGTGCCCAAGCGCGCCAGGTGTGCCAAATACGCCATGTTCGCCACGTGCTCGCCAGGTGCGGTAGGCGCGCCAGAGCATATGAAATCATCGAATCCATGGACACCCCGACGATCCCCGTGGAACAACTGTGCAAAGTAGCGGCGGAGTGGCTAGCATCGCGCATGGTGTGCAACCACATTCGCTCTGCACTGGTTGTCGACGTGGTCGCCGAAAGAATGTTCGCACCCCCCGTCTTGCCATAAGAGCCGTGCAGAACGGTGATGGGGCTCCCAGCGCTGCCCTGCTATTGACAGGGACAGCGGGGAAGGTGGCATGGAGCCTGGCAGGCGGCCGCTCGAGTGGGGGAGGGGGTGCTCACTACAGAAGGGGCAGGGATAGAGAGGGAGTAGGGCGTAGGATGCATGGAGGCATGGAGGGGTGGAGTAGATGGCTGGAGACGGACGTGTGCGTACAGTCACCGGCCTGACCTAAGGAACGAGAAAGCCGCCGGCCCCCTTGTGGGGCCACCAGGCTGTAGGCCGAAGGTTCGCAGTTTCCTGTGCCAGTTGCAGCTTCCAGTTTCCACTGTTACAGTTCTGCTTCTTGCTGCTTACTGTTCCTTGTTGATGGACCGCGCGAGGGGGGGAGGTCCAAATGGGCAGGTTGAGCACGCCCTGAGCGTGGTGTCTGAATTGCTGGGGTGGATAAAAATTCACAAACACATGGGATTTGCAACATTTCTGAAATTCGCTGGCACCCCTCACGCAGATCGGCGGGGTCAGGGTCCAAAAACACATAGGATGTGTCACGTCTGACATTCGGTGGCACCCCTCACGCAGATCGGCGGGGTCTGAGTGCAAAAACATAGCGGATTTGCAACATGTCTAACATTCGGTGGCACCCCTCACGCAAATCGGCGGGGTCAGAGTCAAAAAACATAAAGGATTTGCTACATTTCTCAAATTTGCTTGCACCCCTCATGCAGATCGGCGGGGTCAGGGTCAAAAAACCAACGGGATTTGCCACATTTCTGAAATCCGGTGGCACCCCTCACGCGGATCGACATGGTCAGGGTCCAAAACCATAAAAGCATTTATATATATATATATATATATATATATAATATATGTTTTTTTTTTTTTTTTTTTTTTTTTTTTTTTTTTTTTTTTTTTTTTTTTTTTTAAATAAAAAAAAAAAAAAAAAAAAAAAAAAAAAAAAAAAAAAAAAAAAAAAAAAAAAAAAAAAAAAAACTCACACAGATCGGCGGGGTCAGGGTCCAAAAAAACACATGGGAGTTGCCACATTTCTGAAATTCGCTGGCACCCCTCACGCAGATCGGCGGGGTCAGGGTCCAAAAACACATGGGATTTGTAACATTCCTGAAATCCGGTTGCGCCCCTCATGCAAATCGGCGGAGCCAGGGTCCAAAAACAAACAGGTCCCGACACTACTTCACGACGGCGCCCAGAGCTCATGATTCCCCAATCAGAGCTTGCCTCTGTAGGGGTCCTAGAGGATTTATATGGTTAAGTGAGGTGGGGCGCCGATTTGGTGGCCGGTGGCCGGGTGCCCGGGTGCCCCGGTGCCCGTGGGTGCCCTGTGCCCCAGGATTTCGGTGGCCGGTGGCCGGGTGTTCGGGTGCCCGGGTGCCCGTGGGTGCCCGGGTGCCTGGGTGCTCGGGGATGCCTGGAGGTGCCCGTGGTGCCCGGATACCGTATAGCCATATAGCCCTATAGCGTCATAGCTCTAAAACACAATTGCCAAATAGCCCAATTGCCCAATAGCCCATATAGCCTTACAGCGCAAAAACCCTATAGCTCTATAGCCCTATAGCCCTATAGCCTTATAGGCCTATGGCCCTATAGCCTTAGAACCCTGGAGCCCTATAGAGCACTATAGCCCTATAGCCCTATAGCTCTATAGCACTATAGCCCTATAGCCCTATAGTCCTATAGCCCCTATAGCGCAACCGCCCAATTGCCTTATAGCACTGTAGCCAAGTAGCCCATAGAGCTATAGGAGCCAGAAACATACACACACACACACACACAACATGAATTTCACACAAAGGGCTTTGGCACCACCAACGGCGCAACGCATGTGCACACATGCGACTATATCCCCAGTAATCCGAACCAAGGTTGATGCACGCCCGCGCTCTAGGATGCAGTTGACATGTATGGTGTGGCAAGGCTGTCGGCGGTGACAAAATCCCAATATCCGCTACCAACAAACATTCCATGGTGGTTTGGTACAGCCAAACCACCGTGCAACGTCATTTTGTTCGTCCGTTGACAACAGCACGTGTCGCGGCAGCAGAACGCAGTAGCGCGCGCGGGCATGCAGGGCCGGCGATGTGGCTGGCCAGCTGCCAGCGCGATTTCGGCAGAAGACCCGAAATCCACGCAGGATCGTCTTGGGCGTGGTATCCAGCGCAGCTGCATCGCACTGCCAGGCGCCGGGGTCTTGTGATTGTAGCGCCAGGCCCCGTGCGTTCCTCGAGGCGGGAGAGCAAGCTCTACACAAAGGAATCGCGCGTGCTCTTGTGGGGGCGGCGAAATCGATCGTACCCAAAAGAAACTCCTTTGTGTGCCCCCCGCGTTGGCAGTGCAACCAGACCGCACACAAAGGAATTACACGAGACGTCGTGGCACACAAAGGGATTACAGCAACGCCCGTTGGATTGCGATTTTCGCGCGCGGTGACAGCTCCGAGCTGGAAAGGAAGGGAGGGCGGGACAAGGCAAAGCAGGGGAAGAGGAAAAAGAAGAGGAGGGCGACAAGGAAGCGAAGGAAGCAACGGAAGGAAGCCAGGATGCGCGCAAGCGAAGCTAACACTGCGCGCCGAGACAGTTGTTCGTTCGTTCGGTTGGCCGTGCGGCATATGATGCGAAAAAACATTGTTTGCTGCCTATCGAAGGGGCTTCTTGGAAATGAGACTCGCGCTCTCTTCCCAACCCCCTTTCTCACACCCCGTTGCGAGCGCGCGACGATTTTCTCTGGCCCGCGGGCAGAGGACTGCCAGTTGCTGGTGGGCGGCCCTTGCAAGGGTCACGCGTTCCGATCACATGCGACCAGCTAAGCGCACTTGCCACGCAAACCGCCAGCTCCAGAGACCGACGCCACACCGATCCCCGCATCCGGGGCAGGTACCCTCTCAACGACGCCCTCTTCCGGCGTAAAACTGATA